TAATTTTGAAACGTTTTCAAAAACGTCACTAATCCTCCATATATTAATTGAGTAGATATTTGGTGAAAAAATCATATATGTCATTTAATGGAGATTTTAAGAAACATATCATTTAAATTAATCGATGAAAACATTTCAATTCAAATCATATGCTATGGTGAAAATCTTTATATTTTTTTATTAATTTTATAATATAAACCCAGTAATACACATTTTACAGATTTAAGTTTTACTAAATGTAGTATTTAGACTTACCATATGATATTTTTTTTTAAAAAAATTGATATATTAAGAAACTTTTATTATTATATTTGTAACAATATTATTTATTTGTAAACGACAACTAAATTTACAAATATTTTTATTTTTTATTATTAAAAAATATATATTTTTCGTTTGTTATGTCCAACAAATTCATATAAATCTAAAATTTATTTGATTTATCGTATGTCATAATTTACACAAATAATAAAAAATAATTTTACACTTCAAATAAATAGAAATAAATAACATTTGTATTAGTTTTAATACTTTATCCAAAATTGATTAAAACATATAACAATAAAGTATGCTTAATCAAATTTTAAGTTTATGACATTTATGTATAATACATATAATTTTGTACGTTTATAAATATTGAAATACTCATCTAAATATTAAAATTGATTAAAAAATATATTTAATTCCACGTTTGGCGTGGACCCAAATCAAGTAATCCCATTAAAATCGAATCAACAAATGTCGAAAATGCAAAACGTGGACCAAACGTAGCACATACGTGCTAAAGAAGCTGCTCAAGTTGCACACGGAAGCAAAAAAACGGTCCCAATCCAAAATTACAGAATGGAGAAAATAAAATTGGTAGCCAAATTAAAACTTGTGAGCCTAACAGTGACAAATTAGGGTTCCTAATTGTCTACCCTTTAATGGGTTCATTGGAAAATTCTCTCCATGTGAAGAAAATTACGAGACAGACAAAAAGAGAGTCAATTTATTGGTTACCCAAGTCCTCCTCATGCATGTGAAATTCACTTTTAACGTACGGTGTGTGGAATACGTGTGTATTTTCCTATAATCTCGTCTTAATTACTTTCTCTTTTTGTT